GGGCGGGAGGTCGGGAGGCGTAGTCGGTCAGAAGAGCGTGGATGAATGTGGTTCACAGCAGCGGGCGGGGAACGAATCGGGGGGAGGGGGGGGGGGAGACAGGATGCAGCACCAGCCTTAAAAGGGGGCGGGAACGTACCGGCAGCTGTCCAGATTCAAGCGCCGACGGTGAAGCATGTCCTTCAGACGCCCGGGCGTGGCGACGACAATGTGCACTCCGCGATTGAGGGCGTCCATCTGCTCATTCATGTTGATGCCACCAATGCACAGGAGTGACCGGAGCTGCGGGTAGCGGCCTGAGGCCACGAGGGCCTTGCAGAACTCCTCGCAATTGTCATAGATCTGAGTCGCCAGTTCTTTCTGCGGGGCAAGAGGGGAGCAGGGGGGGACGGGCGGGCGTGAGGATGTGGACATGGCGAGCAAAGGAGACGGGAGCGAGCGCAGGAGCAGCAGCGAGGGAGGGGGAGGTGCACAGAGGGGGCGCGCGCGGCATGCCACGCACCGATGGCACAATACACAGGGCATGGGGGCCCTCGCCTCGAACGAAGGGCAGCCGGATCTCCGCCTCCATGGCCAGGGCCACCATCGGCAAAGCGAAGGCCAGCGTCTTACCCTGGCCAGTGGCCGCGATGCCGATCATGTCGCGGCCGGACATGCTGCGGGGCATGGATGCATGTTCGCATTCACAAGCACACGCAGGGCGCATGATCGGAGCCGGCAGGCAGGCAGGCAGAGGCGTCGGAGGAACGAGGATGAGCCAAGGGGCCGCGGGGCCAAGAAAGGGAGGCAGAGGGGGGGGGAGAGGAGGCGACACACATACACACACAGGTCAGCTTGGCAGGGGGTGGGCGGTGTGCACCGGTAGCGGTGGCCGAGATGGCACGCACACAATCGGCAGGGCAATGGCCTGGATGGTCAGCGGGGCCTTGATGCCGCGCTTGCGCAGGACATCCATGATGGGGGTCGGGAATTTCAGGTACTCATAGCGGCGAGCCGGAGCCGGGACATCGTCGCCACGGACCTGCGCGTGGTATGACCGCCAGATCTTCCTCCGGTCTTCCATGCTCAGCTCGCGCAGGAAGCGCGGCGGCTGCCAGGCCGTCACGCGCAGGGGCTCGGTATAGACAATGCCATCGGCGAACTCGCGGCCCGCTTGCAGGGGCTTGCGCGCCTCGATCTGCTTCAGCAATGCCTCGTCCTCCAGACGGCGGCGCTCCTCCTCGGTGATCGGGTTGACTGCCAGCAGAAGTCAGTGACAGGGGGGGGGGGGGGGGAGAGAGAGGGGGCGTGGGGCGGGGCGGGCGGGGCGAGCGGGGCCAGACGCACGCTCTTCCTCCTTCTGCTTGGCGAGCAGCTCCACGAAGATGTCCGCGCGCCGGGTGCTGACCGGCTTCTCCTCCTCCTGAGGGGCGATATGTCAGTGTCGGTGGGGATGGGTGCGCGTCGGGGGGGGGGGGAGGCGGGGGGCGGCCTGAGGCAGGCTGATGGAGGACGAGGCGGAGGGGCCGCCGCCGACGTACAACTTCACGGTTGAAGACCGATTGCCGGGGGGCGGCATCGGCCTCGGCCCGGGCCAGAGCCCCGAGCGAAGACCCGGCCAGCACACCACGATGCAGGGGGTCTCGCTGCCGGCGTGGGACGAACAGCGGCTTCTCTTCGGCAGCGTCGGCCGCATCAGCGGGCGCTGCCGGCGCGGGAGCCGGCGCCTTGAATGTGTCACTCACAAGGGCATCGATCTCGTCCAGACGCCGCTTGCGCGCGGCGAATATGGATGAGCTCGAGGACATCACGGGGAGGGGGATATTTGGCGGGAGGAGAAAGACAGGAGGGGGGGAGGGGGGAGGCGGAGAAGAGAGAGCGCGCGGGATAGGAATGAGCGAAGGGCGAGAAAAAAAGACAGCCACAGGGGGGGGGGGGGGCGAGAGGGGAGGGGGAGACTGGTGGTGACGCGTCCGGCGGGAGGCTCCTGCGCCCTCCCTGCCGGCGGCGCTTTAAACCTCGCAGGTGCCGACCCACGGCCAGGGCTAACGGCGGTAGTGTGTCTATCACGTGTGCATCCTAGAGTACACGAGAAGGCAAGGATCACACCGCGCGATGCGGCGCTCCTCTGTGTTTGCCGGGGGAGCTTCCGCCCCAACCCCCCCTTGGTACGCGGTCCGCTGTTGTTATTTCGCGCGCAGCCT